TTTAAAGTTAATTATCCTGACCTGTGATACTGCTAAGCTAAAATATATTTGCTTTTAGCTTTGATCAAGAAATCCAATTTAACTGTCTCAGTGAAAAGCCTGTTTCTCATGAAACAGAAGACCATCTATTGTAAAGAAATACTCAGTAGCAAACATTCCAGAATTAAAATTAAACTAAAAAACCCCACATATTTTCTTTAAAATCAATTAAAACAATCTAATTATGCAAATTGATCTGATGAATTCTGAGGTAAAGTTTATAAAGTATGCTAATAGAATCTGAGCTACTCTTTGGATGCGATAGGAAGTGATGTTTCACTCAATCTGCTGAAGAAGTCTAATACGTAGAATCCCAGCCCATAGCAAGTACCATCTTTGCCAAAGGGGCAACAGCATTTGAAGTACTTGAATATTTTGGTTCCTTGAATTTTTCAGACCTTACTGCAACAAAAAAATATGTGTATAAACTAAAGGATACAGAAAATCAGTGTCTATCTAGATAGGGCAGGATTTATTATCCACTATTTGGACTAGCAAACTTCCTCCATTTGTTTCTGTAAGATTTCTACTGGAGCACAGACATTACATAATGTGCAAACACTGCAAGGCCTCCTAAAAGTCAGGCTGGCATGTTAAAGGTCACTGTCTGGATGACAGGAAAGCCAGGTCTGCAGAGGATGTCACGGATGGCAGAGACCACTGAGAATGATCTTGGAGCGGGTCTTCCTCTCTTGGTGAGCCCTCTCTTTGTGTAACCTAAAATTCATACTTCTGACTCAAGTGGACTGGCTTGAGTACTGATTACCTTCACCATTCATGGGATACAAGTTCAGCAGGAGCCCACTAATCATCTGCAAAAGCCAGGATCTTATGAGTGTTGGTCTCCCTCAGCTGGGATCCCATCTTCCTTTCATAGTAAGCAAGGTCATCAGAATCACCTAAGGGATAGCCAGGGCAAGCCCAGGCAAAGGCAGTTTCCGTGGTACTTGTTGCAAGAGGAGGAAAGGGTGATGTGGGATCCCAAGCGGACAAGTAGGAAGAGGATGGCTAGGATGACTGAATGCTTGATTAAGGATCAGCCTAGGGTCACTACTAGGAGACTTAATTAAGACTCATGTAAACCACTAACCAAGAACCCAAATAAAAAAGAAGTAATTTTTGCCTGCTTTCCCTTTACCCAAGGTTTCACAGTCCAAGTGGGTAATGGGGAAAAGAGACCCCTGAAGTACTGCTCACTTGAACATCAGAAAGCCAGATCCAGAACAAAGAGAACAGAAAATCAGAGAAGGAAGGATGGCAGAAATAGCAGAGCTGTGCTCCGAAAGTTTGTTTGCACGTTGGTTGTTTAGAACAGAGATGAAGCAAGGCAGCTGGGAGCTCAGTCTAGTTTAGAGTCTAATTTGCACATAGTATCTAACTTGTACAACAGTGGTTGTGAGGAAAAGGAATCCCGGGACTCTCCAAGCAGCAATGCAGCTGGAAGGCTCTAGTTGCCTTGAGCCAGGGAGGGTAGTGTGTCAAGTCTGAACAGTCTTGCTTCTCGATGCCTGCACTTGGGGCTCTGGAAGACACAGCAGGAGGTCAACTGCTATAGCTGGAAGGAAGATTCCTTTCTCTCACCTGCAGCTTATGCACCCCATTTCTCAAAGAGGGTGCTTAGAACTCTGGTGTAGAAAAATTGGAAGACACCTTTATTATAACAGACACTTAATTATATGTCACATGTGTTACACAGTCACTAAACGTATATAGAAAAATGAATAAAACTTTCATATACTCTATGTCCTGGCTTGGGTTTGGAAAATATTTCTGAAGATGTGTAAGAAAAGCACAGGTGGCTACCTATCTAATGCCCATCAGAAACATATGATTTGGGTGAAGTGTTCTATAAATGTCTATTAAATCCTGTTGATTGACATTGTGGTTGAATTCTTCTATATCCTTGCTAATTTTCTGTCTTGTTCTAGCAACTGTTGAGAGAGGTGTTCTTAAGTATCCAACTATAATTGAGAATTTGTCCATTACTCCTTTCAGTTCTATCAGTTTTGCTGCATTTATTTTGTAGCTCTCTTGTTTGGTGCACACACGTTTTGGATTGGTATGTCTTCTATCTTCCTGGTAGACTGAACCTTTTATTATTATTATTATTTTAATTTTTAAATTAACATATAATGTATTATTTGCTTCAGGGCGAACCTTTTATTATTAATGCAAGGTCATTCCTGGTTCCTTTTGATTAATGTTTACATGATGTATCGTTTCCCATTCTTTTACTTTCAATCTACCTATATAATTATATTTGAACTGGGATGTCTGAAGACAGCCTACACTTAGATAATGTTTTTTAATCTATTCTGCCAATCTTTGTCTTTTAATTGATATATTTTGACCATTTACATGTAATGTAATTATTGGTATATTAGAGTCTGTATGCCATTGTATTATTTGTTTTCTGTTTTTTTGTTTGTTTGTTTGTTTGTTTCTCTATGTTCTTTCTCTTGCCTTCCTACGTGTTACTGCATATGCAGGGGTTTTGGTACTTAGGAAAAGCAGAGAAAAGTACATCCATTCCATTTTCCTGGAAGCAGAATTCCTCAGAAGAAAATGGAGTCCCTAACTGGAAAATGCTTTTTATAATCTTCTCTATAGGGTAAAAAGAAAAACTCCAAAAGAAAAAAAAAACTGTAAAGAGAAATAAGATGATTTGTTGACATGTTATGTGGAGTAACTTTATCTATGCTTGCCACAATTTGAAATCACTTCCATTTGGTCTCAAATAATTTCCAAAGACGTACTGTCTCTTAGAAATCAAGTCTAACTTTTGGTCTGATCAATGACTGAAAACCAGACAGGGGAAGGGTTTCTGACTTGCAGTCAATGCCTTTCTCACCTAGGCATTGTGAGATTCCTGTCTCTTCTAGAATAGGAAGGAAGGATAAGGGGCCATACTAGGATTTTAAGGGGCCTCTCCAACTTTGGTCTTTGGTATTTTTTATAACTATCCTTAGCCCTTCTCCCCTTCTGCCTATCTCTCTTCTTCCACTGCTATGCTAAGTCTATAATAAAGAGTGGGGGTTGGAGAGCGTATGGAACAGACAAAAATTTACAAACACAGAAAATATATTGAACTTGATATTTGCAATCACTGTTTCTTACTACATATTTATAAAAATACCTCATACAACCAATCTGTAGATGTACAACAGGGCTGTGACTTGTTTCTGGATTCATTATGTACATGGCAGTGTGGCACTCTTAACACAGGTGAGCATGGTAAGCTTTTTTCAGGAGTCCTGCCTTTATGGTTGACTTGGGCAAAAAGATGATAGCAGCAGCTATGGTAAAAGGAAGTTTTAGCATACAGGTAGATTTCAAAAGTTTGAACACTACCCACTATGTGTATGACTGCATAATTCCTGTAATTTCTCTGTATTTATGTATTTTCATCTATAAAATGGCGAGAGTAAAATACCCAAGCCTGATTAGTTCAGAGGACTACAAGTAAAAGCTTAAAACGGTGCCATTAGCTGCTGCTGCAACTGTCATTATATCCTTTGCTGGAGGATTATTATATATAATCATATATATATATATATATATATATATATATAAAATATACATAATCCTTTATTATACATATATATTATATATATGTTTATATTATTATAAACAAAATATTATATAGACACTTTGCATATGTTATCATATTTAATCCTACAATAAACTTTTGAGGTATAGATTAAGAAAGGATTGTTTTATTATGAAAATGATTTATAAATACTCTATAAATTAGTATTAACTAAAAAGGTAGATTACATTTAAAAAACCAAGGTTGAAGCCAAAAAGTAAAGTAGCAAATATCTCCTGGCACATTCAGAAAATATAATCAGCACAACACCCAGGGTTGTATTACCATGACTATCATTTGTTACTTTTATCATTTAAACCCCTCCAAAAACATTTAAAGAGGAAAATAAAAGTATTGCCTATTCACTCTATGGGAATATTGGGCCTGGTTTCCTTGGCTGGTTTCCCTTAAGTTCTCACACTGGAGTAATAGGGTGCCCCCTTGATTCCTACAAAGATTCCATATATACTATATACAGAATTTTTCCCACCATCCAGCAGCTAGAGTGGAGGATCAGAAAGATAAGTTTTAAAATTAAAGCTTGATGAAAATTAAAATTAAAGCTTCTATTCCTATTTTTGTTTTATGTCTAGTTTTAAGCTTTTGGGAGAGAAAAAAAACCAACAATAATTCCTTGCTCAATATTCACTGACTGTCTGAGGTTATTCTCTTACCACTTTTTGATACGAGATTAGACATATACATTTTATTTTATTTTTTCTTTTGTTTCTAAATTTTTATTTACTTTTTAGATTTTATTTAAATTCAAATTAGTTAACATATAGTGTATTATTAGTTTCAGGGGTAGAATTTAGAGTTTTGTCAGTTATATATAACATCCAGTGCTCATTATATCAAATACCCCTCTTAATGCTCATACCCCAACTAGCCCATCCTCCCACCCACCTCCTGCCCAGCAACCCTCAGTTTGTTCTCTATAGTTAAGAATCTCTTACGGTTTGCCTCCCTCTCCTTATCTTATTTTTCCTTCCCTTCTCCTATGTTCATCAGTTTTATTTCTTCAATTCCGCATGAGTGGAATCTATATACAGTATTTGTCTTTCTCTGACTTGTTTTGCTCAGCATAATACATTCTAGTTCCATCCATGTTGTTGCAAATGGCAAGACTTCATTCTTTTAATCACTGCACAGTAGTCTGTTTGCATTTCTATACACCAATAATGAAGCAGCAGAAAGAGAAATCAAGGAATCCCATCCCATTTACAATTGCACCCAAAACCATAACAGACCTAGGAATAAAGCTGCCAAAGAGATAAAGGTTCTGGACTCTGAAAACTATAGAACACTTACGAAAGAAATTGAGAAAGACACAAAGAAATGGAAAAATATATACATTGTAAAAGGTGCTTACCAAGGCAAAACGGTTCTAATACATTCAGGACCGAAAATTCATTCTGTAGGTTCATCATTTGAAGGGCAATTCTGATCATAAAGGACTTGATTTTCTCAGGCCACGGTTTAAGTAGAAGGTAGGCAAAAACGTAGAGAGCATATCGAAGCCAGCACAGAAGCGGAGTGGCGATCCTGCCGTTCGGGGACTCAGACAATCGCTCAATTGTTGGAAAGAGCAGAAAGGAGCGAATTATCTATAATAAAAAACATATTTTGATGAGAAGTTTTCTTAAGGGATAACCCACTGTTTTACTGTTTCATCCATACAGTATGAACAAATGGGGTTTCAGAATATGACAAAGATCTGTTGTGAAAGAGAACCACTACCTGCTTGTCTTCTCACTGCTCAAGCCATCTGAGGGAGAATGTAAGGATGTCCTCTTGAGTTACTGGGATTAATTTTCAGGGTGAGGAGCAAATCAGATTCTCTGATACCTTCCTGATTGGGAAGCAATTCACAATCCTTTTGAAAGACTGCTGAAATTAGGAATTCATGTCCCATTTCAGTAGTTATACCACCTCGACTGACTAGTAGAGCGACATAAAGAACTCTCCTTCTAGTCAGGATTCCTTTTATGGATTAGATTTGGGATAGTTCACTTTGAAAAAGCTACTCTTTTCCCTACTCTGACCAGTAAAAGGTAATCTTTAAGAGGACCAAATACATTTCTAACATGTGATTTAACTTCAATAAAAAGTGCAGGCCAGAAACAAGCAAAGCTGGAAATCTTTACCTACATGGGAAAATGTTCAAGGACAAAAAGATAATTTCAGCTGAATTCATCAGGATATCTGGAAATATAGATGCCACAAGACGAAGAGCATCACTAAAACATTTTATATTTACCATTATCTACCATATTAATATTTAAAAAAATAATATATAAACATAACTTCTATGAGGGATCAGAAAAGGCAAATAGTTAAGCACAATCCCTATTAATACCAGAGTAATATAAGTGAAATAGATCACCAGTGTTAACAGATTATAGAACAGGAAGTGAGAATGGATACAATGGTTTTACTTTTTAAAAAAAGTTTAAGATACACACAGTAAAGCATATAAAACATCAATGTGCAATTTAACAAATAATGGATAAAATGAACAGCTATGTGAATCCAGCAACAAAACACTACCAGTACGGCATCTTCCCATCCCAACTCCTACCTCTGTTCACATCTTAGGTAACCTCTATCCTGACTTCCTTACTTTGCTTTCTACCAATACGTATCGTTCCTTGATATTGTAATCACTTCCTTATTTTGTTTTACATTAATAGTTATCGTCCTGCAATCAACTGAATTGTGACTCCCCTGAAATCCCAAGTTGAAGTCCTAACTCCCAATGTGATTATATGTTGAGATAAATGAGGTCACAGGGTAGAGCTCTGAGAGATAGGATTAATGTCCTTACAAGGAGATTCATCAGAGAGCTCGCTCTCCCTTCCCAGGCACACACAAAGAGGTCTGGCGAACACGCATGGAGAAGGTAGCCGTCTACGACCAGGAAGTCTCACCAGAAACTGAGCATGCTGGCATGCTGATCTTGGACTTCCAGCCTCCAGAACTGCGAGACAATAAATGTCAGTTTAAGCTCCCTAGTCTATGGCATTTTCTTATGGCAGTTTGAGATGACTAATACATATTCCTTAATACTATGTATTATATATTATTATTATATTATAATATATATATTATATTATATATTAAATATTATATATATAATATATAATATATATATAGAGGAAATATATATATATTATATATATAGTATTATATATTAATACTATAGCTAAATTTTGTCTGTTAATGAACTTTACATAAATGCAATCAGCAGTATGTTTTTGTGTTTTATTTCCTTCACTCAACACATGAAGATTCATTCATGCTGATATATGTAGCTTATTATCTTGGCTCTGTAGTTTTCTACTGTACGAACATAGTGCTACTTATTTTACTGATAGATATTTGGGTTGTTTTTAGTCCAGAGATATTACAAACATGTTGCTATGAACATTTTTATACGTGTCTTTTGGTGCATGGATGCATGTATTTCTGTTGATGATATCACTCGAAGTAGAAATACTATGTCATATGGTATGTCTAAGTTCAGCTTTAGTAGATAATTCCAAATAGTTTCCCTAAGTACTAACGTATTTCCATACTGAGAGACATGAGAGTTCATATTGGTACAGATCGGCACTACATTGGCACTGATCACTAGCCTGATAAACAGTGGTATACTTCGTTGTGGCTTTGTGTTTTTCTGATGACCAGTACTGGAGTTGAACAACTTTTATGTGTTGACATTTTCTGTATCCCCTGAAGTGCTTATTTAAGTCTCTTGCATGTTTTTCTATTAGGCTGCCTATCATTTCCTCTCCTTGATTTGTAGTCTCGTTTTTGTTTTTTTATTCTAGATACTAGTCCTTTGTCATGTTGCTGTCGTTGGCCTGCCTGTTGATCTCTTATATTTTTCTTAATGGACATAAGTTCTTAAGTTTGATGCAGCTGAATTTTAATCTTTTTTTTCTATACTTATTCTCTGTGCCTAGCTCAAAAAATTCTTGTCTGTCCTCAAATCATGAAGATATTATTTTTTTTTTCATTCAAAATGCTTCTTTAGAAATTAGGGAAAGCTACCTCTTAGCAGAGTCCACGAGTCTGTTCCTTTGATTCCAGCTATCAGTGATCTGCCATTTCCCTCGTGTTATTTACATTCCTTTTGGATGAACTGAACGCACTTTTCCTGGCAAGACCTGACAGTACAATACAGGTTTTGGCGGCTTTTTCACCCTCTATCACTGACAGTCCTTTTCCATAGTAACCTGTAGGGCGGCATTGCCCAAATGTTCAATTTGATCTGTAATTCTCACTAACTTACAGGCTCTCTGTTACTGTCTCTAATAAAGAACAGGGATTTGAGGGTCAAACGGCGGAGGACTCTTTTCCTTCTAATCATCTTTCTTGTTTTTCCACGGTCTTATCTGTCAGCTGAGCGCTCAGCCATTTCCTACAGACTTTTCCTTTTCTCTCAATGGTAGCCGAGATATTTTAGTTGTTTCTCGTTTGGTCATAATTTGACCTCTACTAGGTCTCCTCCTCTATCACATCAGCAAGAATGTACTGGTCCTTGAGGTCTTGGTGGTGATTAAAAGACATTATTTGGAGGGGCGCCTGGGTGGCTCAGTGGGTTAAAGCCTCTGCCTTCGGCTCAGGTCATGATCCCAGAGTCCTGGGATCGAGCCCCACATCGAGCCCCACATCGGGCTCTCTTCTCAGCAGGGAGCCTGCTTCCCTTCCTCTCTCTCTGCCTGCCTCTCTGCCTACTTTTGATCTCTGTCTGTCAAATAAATAAATAAAATTAAAAAAAAAAGACATTATTTGGAGCGGGGAGCGGGGAGAAAAAAAAAAAAAGCCACAGGCTTTTCTGATGATTTTTTAAATGCTGCATAAGCAACTTTACATGTAAAATGCTCATACCGGGCTTTTGGAACGAATGCAGGGTTTCAGCCAGAGTAAGGGAGTTGCTGCCACCTTAGCATCTTAAGTACAAAGCAGGGGAGATGCTGGATGGACTGTGTCTGCTTAACAAAGGCATTCATGGGACAGATGTGATGCAGAGGACGGGACTCCCAAGTATCAGGGGTGATGGGGAGTCCTCCATTCAGAGCCAGCTGCCTATTCTGCAATGGGTTTATACAAAGATTCTATATGAAGATTCACATAAAGGTTGTGGAATCTCCGCGAAGTCTGATTAACCAAGAAAAGTCAGTTAAAGGAATCATCCTGCCTCAATGCCACTTTCAGTGTGAATTCCAACCCAGTGTATTCAAACCCAGGCAGAGAAGCAAGGAGATCAGCTCTGGAATCCCGGGACTTCTCTGATATTTGGTCGTCTTCTTTCTCTCTGGTGTAACACTGGGGCGCAGCATCCTGGATTCTGCCTTTGCACCCCCTCCCCCAGAGTGAGGACACGGGGTGAGCAGGGTGTGCTACACCGGCACCGTAACTGCAGGCCTCTGCCCCACAGGAGGCACCCGTAAAGAACCCAACGGCCCTTGAACAGGCGGACCCCGCGCCCCTATTCAGTGAACAGTAGTAGTATGCTGCTACTTCACCCCTGCCTTTCTGCCGTGCTCAAAGTCAAGTATGACTGTGGTCACTCTTAATAGACGTGGAATAGCCTACAGACTGGCAAGAATTACGAAGTCCAACAGTACCAAGTGTTAAAGACGGGGATCAATAAGAACTCTTACACAGCATGGCATTACTATTACACTTTCCTTCTCTGTTTCTGAGACACCGCTTTGGTGGGTGTCTGGAACTCACACAGAATGTAAATTTTTATCATTCTGTCGAATGTTAGTTTAATTTGGGGATCTGGCATTTCACCTGGATCCAAAGCAGCATGCTTTAAGAGTCTGAGAGGTAGAAATGATAAATTCTCTCAGCAACTGGAGTGGTGTTACAATTAACCATTGATTTTACACCTTCAGATTCAGAAGTCTTTCCTTATCTTCTGGGTAGTTCTAACATCACGAGTTCTTTTATTCCTGTAGTGCTATCGATGTTCTATTGGACCTAACAAGACTTGAGAGATTCAAACGGGTGGATTTACACAGAGCAATCTTTGGTGCTAGGAGAGGCAGGGTTTCTCGCTGCTCTGCGGAGGCCTCCCAGCAGACGGGCCAGGAAGGAGCTACCTTTCCCAAACCCGGAAGACTTCTCCCTCGAGACTGGAAGCAGGTGTGTTAGCAGCTGCGGTGGCCACAAAGGAAAAAAATGAAAGGAACTGACTTCTTGGGTTCAGCTGGGCTCTCGTTTGCCAGCCTCACTAGGAGCCCTAGGAATATGCCACGCTGAGGAAGCCGGGTGACGCCACAGTCCACAGCATGGCAGGCTCCCCAGCAGCCAGCATTCTTTAATAGTATCCCCAAAAGCTCTGTGGTCTAGTCTTCCACACTTACATTCGTAATCTACCTGAAACTGATTGTTATGTATGCCGTGAAATATGGGTCTAATTTAATTTCTTAACATATGGAAACTTGATTGTCCCAGCGCTATGAACTGGAAAGGCTGCCCTTTCCCTGCCTTTCCGCACGGACACTCCTGTTGTGAACCCCATATGGATGTGAAGGGGTTCTTTCTGGAGCTCTCTGACCTGTTCTGCAGGCCAACCTCTCTCAGTCTG